CTTCCACACACACACACACACAGAGCTTTACATACATCCAACTTGAAGGCATAAAAGAGACCCTCTTTTCCCGTTCTTCTTTGTCTTTTATCCCATCGACAGATGTTAGATACTTGATTATCTTAATTAATGTCTTGATTCGTCATCAAGTGTCCCATCCGCCTCTTCATTCCCACCCCCACAAACACACTCTCATTTCTCCGCGCTATTCTCAAATACTCAAGTGGAAGTTGATTTGATTTGATTTTCATCATCTCATCTACCATAAAACAAAAAGAAATAGAAAAAACAACACACAATTATTATTCTTATTATTGTTTCTTTGATATGGTTACTGTCGTACTCTTCACCTTGACGCGCGCATACTTACATACACGCACTCGAGTATATGTTGTCTGTCTGTGTGTGCGTGGATGTTGTTGTCTGTCCCCTTTTATTATATGTCATTATTTAAATTATCACCTCTTTTATTTTATAAGAAACACATTTTTCTAATGGCTTTCTCTTTTTGTCTTCATCGTTTGTTTATTCTTTTATGCTCTTCAGCATCTTTTCTAAATTTATCTTACCTTAATTATATTTATTTATTGTGCTGTTTGCTTCTGTCTTTGTATACATTTACGTGTGTGTGTGGGTGGGTGTGGAGTGAAGGTATTTCTGTGGCGTGTACTACTCACAAGATTTATTAGTAGTATATAGACACAGATTGGCAAAAAGCAACGAAAACTGAAAACAGCATTTAAAGTTAATGGCTTCAGAAATATGTAGGATTTAGTTTGCCTTATGGCCAGCGGATAATCTCATTGGACAACTTTTTATCTCAAGGTTAAAACTCAGGAAAACTGGCAACCAATCAGAACAGTTTATTATCCGTTGACCTAGTTGATCTTTCATGTGGTCAAAAATGCATAAATATGGTGTGTATTTTTCTTGATAAAAGAAGTCCTTTACCAGGTCTGTTATCTTCTCCGGATGTATTTCTACTGATATGTTCCCGTCAAAAGGCAAAGGAATAAAATCAATAAAAAAATAGTTAGATAAATAGCAATCAGAAGACGTACTTTGTCTGAATCATGTATGTAATGTGTCTTTGCGTAACACATTTCGAACAATCTGATCCACTACACACGGACTTGTCATAGGAATGTGTATATATGAAATTAATAAAGACTTAAGAGCTGAGAAAATAGACAAGTTGGGTCAAGTTAAAAGGATATATTGAAGGTCAAAATAACAATGAAGATCACTAAACCAAATAATAGAGGTAATAGTACATCTACCCTGGGTGGTATAAAAACAAAGTTCACCAAGGAAGGTGGTTTAGTGTGATGATGAAGTGTTGCTTTGAACGCATAAAGGTGGTTGAAACCTTCTAATTGCTAGCTAGGGCTTCCGCAAACTTTAGGATGCACCTCTAAACACGTTTTATAAATAGCTTTGAAACACGTGTAAACATCAATTTTATGTCCTGTCTCTATAATATGTTTCTCATTTCAAGAGTTGGGTGTAGGGATTCTATTGGTTTCTGGAGCCATTTATGGGTGATATGCTCTGAAGCCACCCCTTACTTTTAGATATCTATGCGTCCTGTGAGGAGACCATCAAGTGACATCACTAGACAAGCCCTCGGGTGGAACCCGAAAGGGAAGCGGCGAGTTGGTCGTCCAAGGGTGACTTGGAGGAAATTGGCAGAAAACCGAACGCAATGGATACGCGCGGTTGAAGCCCTATGTTCCTCTAGGAATTAAAGGAAATAATAATAATGCGTCCCCTCTATGTATGTGTGTCCACACGTACATTGAAATTGGTAAATACAGTTGGATGTGACATCATTTCTCGCATGTTCAAAGGGCCTAGTTACATAAATTGGCTTCACATTCTCAATTATTATGATATTAGCTGCATAAAAAGTCTTTTTAACAACATCATTCAATCTTTGTCTAGTTGCCAAGTTGCTATAATCCTTCATATAAGGTAGCTTGATGTTCACTTCTCGCTTAGCGGAGAGTGGGTTATGGTGTTCTGACTACTTTATGTTTCCTGATGAACTTGTCTGGCTGATTGTTATCAACCAGAGTTTGTGTCAACTTTCTTTCTTCTTCATTAAATGTGTCATCAGTGTATATTTGATGGATTCTAGTGAAGAGACATCTCACTCACTAAGACTCTTTTGTACCGAACAAGACGGAAACTGCGATAACTGAGATATTGTCTTGTGCAGGTAGTTTTCCCATAAATAGGTCATTTTATTGATCCATTAGACCGTCCGTCGACTAAGCAATATACCTAGGAAAGATAAATAATTATCTTTCTCTTCTACAGACACAGGTGATATGCCCTTCTGAACTTCATTCATTCGATTCAAAATTGAGCTGGTGACAGAACGAGACTTATCACTTACAATTATAATGTCATCTACATACCTTTTATAAAGTAGTACATTTTCGATTAAATCTTCCGATAAATTCTCAATGTACGACGTATATATATATATATCTGCTAAGAGGGGCCCTAACGAGCTTCTTATAGAAACACTGTCAACCTGGTGGGAACAATCACCAACCGAACATGCGGAAAATGATGTCACATCCCTCTGTATCTGCCAATTTGAATGTACGTGTGGAAACACATACATAGGGAGGACTCATCGATCTCTGCAAGTAAGAGCTGGCTTCAGAGCATATTTCTAGGTGGCTCCAGAAGTAAATAGAATCCCCAGTACCCATTACTGGTGAGAACAAGAGACCTAGCTCCTCTGTTGCGAAACATTTTGTAGAGACAGGACATGAAATTGACGTTAACAGATATTTTAAACTTATGTATAAAATGTATTTGGGGCGTAACCTAAAGTCTGTTTGCGTGCACCCTGAAGTTGTTGTCGAGTAAATTATATATCCACATTATTCGAAATGCTGAGAATCCCATATTGTAATCATATTATAAATTTAGTATGCCATATCTTCAATGCTTTATATACACATCATTTGCAAATTGGTCAAGTGTTTCCACATTCGATAGCTTGTTGGATTCTGCGCAGTGTTTCTAACGCTCTTCTCGAAGTTCTCTTGTTCTTCGATTGCTTTTTCCAATTCTCCGAAACATATTGTTGCTTTTCTGAATTCGTCTACAGATATACTACCTATATTTGATTATAAGTAGCACTTACTACAATACTAGCAGTCGTAACTATGCAAATTAGAAATTTGGTTATTTTTTTTAATTTCCCTCTTTCTTTTTCCTTTTTCTCCCCATTTATTGTTAGGATAGTAGAACTTTGTGATTGTGATATATTGTTGTATAGCGTGTACTACTGATAAGATTTATCAGTAATATATATATATATAAGGAGATGTTCATGGGTATAAAAAAATCAAATAACAGAGAGATAGATATGATAACAGAGAAAGAGAATCATACAGTGTGGTCGAGATACATGGGAGGCGTGAAAGGGACACGAAGAAACCCACACACACACACACACCGTATGAAGGAAGGCTAGTAGTAGCAGGCACAACACGGAAGATCTGTGCAAATGGTGCATTGGAAAGATTGCCAATTCTCTCGTCTTCTCTCCATTGTTACAGTAGGATGTTGTGTAGCTCAAAATAGTAGAATTGGGGTCAATTTGATTTAGTGGATCACAGTAATTTTTTAACAAAATCTGGATTAGTTCACTCGAAAAAGATTTTTTTTAAATGTAGAAAATACCTCAGATTTTATAGCACACTACATGTAGTGTGACACATATGAATGATGCGATAAGATGACAGTCTTAATATAGTTGTGGAATTTTATTGGCAATGGAAGCTTTATCTATATCAAATCAACTGCGAATACATGCAAGCGAAATGATTCAACACCACCTTCACACAGCACCTGGACAGTTTCACTACTATTTTTGCAATTATTGGCTTTGTAGAAATCTTTTGGTTTGATTGGTTGGAGGATTTCATCATGAGCTGACATCAGTTAGACAACCACTGGAAAATCTGGGTGTACTGGACAGCTGTTTCGTCCTAGGTTGGCACTCTTCAGCAGTACATACTCACCACCAGGGTTCGAGCCCAGCACCTTCTGACTACACGGTGAGCTTGATGGTCTACGATATCAGTTTTGCCCACAGGTTGATATGAGTTAGAGAACCAGTTACAGTGAGTACTGTTTCACCCTACTAGTTTGCCACTCATCGGAAGTACACATCTACCGCTAGTGTCTCCAGTCACAAAACTTTCTGTTTACAAGTCAAGACAGCTAGTAGACAGTCAGCCATTCAGCCACTTGAACTTGACTCCACAATGACCAGTCAGTCCTATTTGTAATTTTCACTTTGGTTCTCGAAATGATATCAATAATCCCTGGTCATTTAATTAGAATTTAATTTGTGGATGTTGACTAGCAGTGGAATTCACCAGGATGCACATTTCGTCCTATTTGAGACTCGTCAGCCACTGGATGTACCTGCATTCCCCAGTAAGTGAATGATGATGCTCCCACCGAGACTCGAACCCAGTGGCCATAGTTTCAAGTACCAGCCAAAGCATTATCCACTAGACCACTTTGGCCACGAGAGCTGGCCACCTCTTGTGCAACGGGTCATAATAATTATTTTAACTGAATTTTAAATTTTCCCGTCGATTGATTGATTGGACCGAAGCTCTTCGTCTCAGGTTGACATGCCTGTCGGCTTCTCTAGCAGATGCTTCGACGATGTCTGGGCATTGAATTAGAATTTTATCTGTGGATGGTGACTAGCAGTGGAATCCACCAGGATAACGCTCATTTCGTTGAAGCAACTACACAAGAAGCCGACAGGCATGTCAACCTGAGACCAAGCACTTCGGTCTAATCAATCAATCGACTGGAAAATCTAAAATTTAATTAAATCCCTGGTCATATTTAAAACAAATATAATCCCGAGAAACTTACTGTTAAATATATATATATATATACATTTATGATTTTACCTTTTTGTACTTAATCGGTCATTACTTCATTTTCAGCCGGCCTGCGAAATATGTTACGACGTATTGGTAATGCCTATTTTTATTTGTCTGTTCCCCCTATTTTCTTGCCTTCCTTGATGTGTTCGGTGTTATTATTTTTATTATTATTATTATTATTACTATGAGTGTTCGACACTTGTTTAATTTTCCGTTTTTCATTATATATGCGTTCAATGTTCAGTGTTATCCAAAGTATATATTACAACATATATAAGTGTATTTGTGTCTGTGATCGCTTCCTGTATCTACGTTTCTCGTTTTATTTGTGTATGTATGTGTACGTGCGTGCGTGAGTGAGTGTTCATGTGTATTTCAGTTATCTGTTGATATCCATGTTAAGTTCGCTTTATTAATGTTGCTCTGCACACATGCCTATCCAAACGCTTATTATTATTAATCTGAGCAGTAGTTATTGTTGCATTAGTCGTAGTAGTTGATAGGATTGGCAGTACTACACTTCTTTCTTGCTTTACACTCTATTATTATTATCATTTTACAATACAATCGCTATGCTGGTGAATTTTACTCATTATTTCCCCTCCCCCTTGTGGTGTTCACGTTCCTTTTATTTTATGGATTATCAATTTACAAAAGTAATGAATCTTCCCCCCACCTCCACCCCTCCAACCTAGTGGTGTGGATGTGGATCGAATCCAAGAGGTTTCAAGTTATGAGATGAGCTTGTTGTGATCATTCAGTTATCACTGAGATTCACTGGAATTCAGCTATCGCCTGATGAATTCTACCTTTTTGTTAATTCTTTTCAATCTCTAGTGGGATCATTGGTGGGTGCCGCTGATGAAGACTCTTGAAATGAGTGGTGGTTCTTCGACTGATATCAATGCATGCTCTAAAATTTGTAATCTCATACATTTGGTTTGCTTGATAAATTTCGATGTCTGTCTGTCTGTCTGTTTTCGACATAGAACTTTGCACATATGTGCATCAATTCAAGTCGATAGAAGAAGAAAGACTAGATTTTCAGTATAAAGTAGTGACGTTATCATCATTCTATTTCACAGGTTCTCATCAACTGCAATCCACTATCTGAAATTACAATAGTTATAAATAATGACAGTTACATACTTCAATGTTTGAAAGGTAATCGAGAAAACATTATAAGATGAACGCATCCGGAATATAAGTATTACAATTTTTAAGTTTAAGTCACCATCAGTTTATATGCTATCAAAGTACGGAATAAAAAACGGGGAGCGAGAGAAGACAGGAAACAGAAAAATCTAACAAACAATTTTAGTTTAAATGTGTAGACATCAACACAAGACGTTTAAAGTTCATCAAATAAAAATTTTGCTTAATGAGTTGTGCTCACTAATGTGTATGACTAATCAGTGTAATGAAAGTAATACGATTACCAAGGGAGTGAAAAATTTTGACTACACTCTCTTTCTGTGTGTATAAGTTTGACCTGAAACGTTTGATTGCAATTGCTTCAGCGAACTGTAGTAAAGTCGCTGTCCGTTGTTTGTTTGTTTGTTCAATATTTTGAAGGATTTGGAAATCTCGACAAAATGATTATTACCCGTATGTACAAGGTGTGTCTGGTAATTGCACTTGATAAATAAATACCTGTTGTAAGTTTCTTGGAGTATGCTCTGAAAACCGGATAGAAGTCTTTCTTACTGTCTTTTCAATGTAGTTACTGTCTCAGGATGCGTTCATCCTATACTGCTTTCTCTAGTACCTTTCAAACATTGAAGTATGAAATGGTATTATTTATAACTATTGTAATTTCAGACAGTGAATTGCAGCTGATGAGAGCCTGTAAAATAGAATGATGATATCAGATTTTATACTGAAAACCCGATCTTTCTTTCTCTATCGAAACTTGAAATAAATCAAAGCCCCTGTAAAATAGCAATTAAAAATTTTTTGGGCCAAGAGGTCTGGGGTAAGATTCCTTTTCCATTTACTCTGTATATAGAGTCATCATTACTCCGCACACAATAAGTTTAACTGTTAACACAGCCTTTTTTTTATTCCTTGACTCTTCTAGTAGAACATAGGGCTTCAAGTTAGAGCTATTCTTGAAGTTTCTGTAGCAGTGATGTTTATTATTTTTACAGGATGGGGTTGCTAGCCAGCCTCATGCCCAACCTCCCTTCTTTACCAGTCTTACTACTGGCTTAGTGAGCGAGGTAAAGGAGTGCGTCGGCCGGGGGTTGAACCCCGGACCATCTGTGTGGTCTATGGAGAATTCTACCGCTGTGCCACCGACACACAGCCTAGTATGTGGGAAATTTACTCCTCAAAACTGACTGCTTGGTTTTAATATATGGGAAATGAGAATGACGAATTAAAGCATTAATGAAGAGTTAACTTGACCTAGTGAAATAGGGTATGTGTGTGTGTACGTTTAACAGTACTGAACACAATAGGCAATACAAGTGAATGCAGAATACAACTGGCACTTTACCGAGTTTCACGAAGGGATGAAAGAAGACAGAAACTGGTCTACGACTATTGTCAGAACGACGTCATTTGACAAGAAATATGTTGTATATTTACAACATTGATAAGACATATCAAATGTGAAGGGTTAGGTCAATGATTAATTTAATTAATTTGATTGGTCCGATATATATATATATATATATATATATATATATATATATATATATATATACGCTAAATTTGAAATAGAAAATGTACTATCTATCTGTCAATAATATTGATTCCAATTTTAACACAGTTGCTGTGAATAAAAAATATGCTTGTCTCGTAACATAAAGTCGGTTCAGGACTGTTCAACTGCCTCTTTCAAGAAATATTAATCCATCTCGAGGAGGACATCCGAATGAGTATGCACTACTTCTGTTCTTGTAAGAGTCTAGAAAGGAAACTAACATATGATTATCCAGTTAGTGAGTGTATTATTAGGTGAATACATCGGTGGTTCAGCGATTGAATACTCACCGACCATAGATTTGGTATGTGGGTTCGATGCCTTGCCCCGACACACACTTCTTAATCTCGCTTACTCCTGGTAGTAGTAAGGCAAACAAATAGAGGAGGTTGTGTTTGTGTGCGTGGCTAGTAATCGCCTCCCGTGAAAGCAAAACCACTGATACTGAAGTTTCAGAGCTTCAAGCTCTATGTTCCGCTCGAGAGGTAAAGCGAAAACAAAATCCTTGTGCGTTGGTGGCACAGCGGTTAGGACACTCACTGACCATGCACATGGTCTGGGGTTCGATCCCTGGCCACTGACTCACTCCTTTACTTCGCTCACTAAGCCTGGATTAAAAATGCTGGTAAAGAGGAAGGGCTAACAACCCCATCCTGTAAAAATAAACACTGCTTCAGAAACTTCAAGCCTCTAGCCTGAAGCAGCCCTATGTTCCACTGGGGAATGTGAAGGAAAAGAAATTAACGAATGGAGCTCTCAGGTTATCTTGATGTAAAATGCATGAAACTGCACTGTCCTGTGTCGCTTCGTAAAATTTCACAGCTAAACTTTGACAGGTTAGTTGTTTTGTTTTTTTTTGTAGCAAGGATGTGTATAGTGTCTTAGACGACGCGCCGTCCTCCAGCTTTTCAGCAGTCGATATCTTTATGTATTGAAAAACAGAATGAAATTTTTTTATAACCCAGCATTTATACCTACCCTATCACACTTGTTTCTGTATAATCTTCTTATGCTGTTGTTGTTGTTGCATGTATTCACCTTAAAATCTAATCAGCAGACGTTCGAATTCGTTGGTTGGCATTTGGTTCCGCTGTCAGTGGCTGAATGCTCTGCGACGCCTAACTCGCTAGCCTTGTAACCAGAAGGTCCTTGTTTCGAACTCTGGTGGTAGGTGCCTTGGTGAGTGTATTTGTAATGCTGAAGAATCTCAAGCTGGAATAAACACAGCTGTCTAGCAGTACTCCTCGTGGTTTGTTTTCCAATGGCTCTCTCTTTTAGACTGATGTCAACAAACATATCACCAACCAAACTCTTGCAAAGCAACACATGATAATGAAATCTGATTCTCAGCTTGAAGTGTGTACACACACACACACACATATCGAGGAGTGAAATAAAACTTTTTAAGTATTGGTTTGTTGTAGGGATTTTGTTTGATTGCATGGAGGATTCGATTTTTTTTGATTTTTGATTTTTGATTTTTGATTTACAGCTTGATTCCACATTGTATTTTTGGTACAAGTATGGAATTTTCAATGGTCTACGAGCTCGCCTTGTAACCAGAAGGTCCTGGGTTCGAATCCCGGTGGGTGCGTACTGCTGAGGAGTCCCAAACTAGGACGAAACAGCTGTCCAGTACTCCCAGGTTTTCCAGTGGTTCTCTAACTGATGTCAGCTCATGATCAAATCCTCCATGAAATAAAACTCTCTACTACTGATTCATTGAGATGAGAGTAGTAGAAGCAAGCACTACTGGTTGATATTAAGCACCCGTGGGACACAATTACCCATCTTAAATTAAACAGTGTGCAGGCTTTCCTTATCGCCGTTGATGCTATCAAGCAAATCTCATATGGCCAGCCAATCCATCTCCATTTCTTCCTGCCTATTTGTTTCACAATCGGTTCCTGGTTGGTTCGCTCCCAGAGATCTTTGTTGCTGATCTTTTCCGGTTGGCCATCTGATCTTGAGTATTGAGCGAAGACAACTGTTGATGAAGGTCTGAAGTTTGTTTGAGATGCTCCTTATGACTCACCAAGTCTCTGATCCGTAAAGTAGCACTGACTTCACATTGCAGTTGAAGATCCGGATGTTATTTTTGATGCTGAATGCTGTTGACCTCCACACCGACTTGAGAGTAATGAAAGCTTGTCTTGCTTTTCCGATTCTTGCTTTGATATCCTCATCAGCTCCGTCCGCCTGTAGTTGAGACGATGCTTCCCAGGTAGGTGAAGGAGGTTGTTTCTTTCAGGTTCCTCCCATATATGCTGATTGTTGTCTGTTGTTGTCTGCTGCTGTTGTTGTTGCTGTTGGTGTTGGCCAGGAATCTTCATCACCTCTGTTTTATCTATGTTCACTTGAAGTCCTATCTGTGATGCTTTTTCTGCCAGCTTGTTCCTTTTTACTTGCATATCTTCCAGTTTGTGGGAAATCAGACATATATCATCGGCGAAGTCCAGATCCTCCACGTTTGTCTTTGTGTGAGTCCATTTTATGCCTGTTCCCTCGTTGGTTGCCGTTGTCTGTCGCATTATCCAATCTACTGCAATCAGGAAGATCATTGGCGATAATAGACAGCCTTGTCGCACTCCCGTCCTCACTTCGAAGGCTTCCGTAAGTTTCCCGTTGTGGATTACTTGGCATCCAGCATTGTCGTATAACTGTTGGATGAGATGTATAATTGTCGATGGGACCCCGTAGTAGCGAAGCAGTTGCCAAATCACCTCTCGATCGACGCTGTCTGATGATGCCCTTTTCAAAGTCGATGAAGTTGAGATAGAGAGGTGACTGCCATTCCAAGCTTTGTTCAATGATGATCCGTAGAGTGGCGATTTGATCAATACATGATTTGTTTCTCCTGAATCCGGCCTCTTCCGGACTAAGTTTTTCACCTAGGGTTTGTTTGATTCTCTCCAGGATGATGCGACTTAGTATCTTGCTTGGAATGGACAGAAGAATAATTCCACGCCAGTTTTTACATTGACTTAAGTCTCCTTTCTTTGGTAGTTTGAATAAGTGTCCTTTCTTCCAATCCTCGGGTACTTTGCCCTCTTTCCACACCTTCTCCAGCAGTGGCGTCATCAAGTCCGCTGTTGTCTCTGGGTCTGTTTTCAAAGCTTCTGCTGGGATTCCATCTGGTCCTGGTGCTTTCCCAGCTTTTAGCATCTTGATTGCATTCAGGACTTCTGATTTCGTCGGAGGGTCAATGTTCACCGGGTAGATGCTTTGAACTGATGATTAGGCATTCTGGTTTTAAGCTGAGTCGAATCGCTTGCACCACTGCTAAAATCGCCGACAAGGGTTAAAATGGCCATTTGGTGTTTAAATCACCTCGATCCGACTAGTCAGCAAGCACTACTTATTTTGATGGGAGAAGTCCGTATACATCTACTCATCTCAAAAAATTAGTAGTATATGTATGTATATTTATTTATTTTTCTTTAGTTGGTTTGTAAGGGTTATTTTTGTTTTTACGAGTTGACTATGGATTGATGTCAGTTAGAGAACTATTGAAGACCCGCCCCCAGGGAGTACTGCTAGATAGCTGTTTCATCCCACTAGCTTGGGAAAATCATCGGGAGTACGCACCCACCCCACTGGAGTTCCAACCTAGGACCTTCCGGTTACAAGTCAAGCTACCTCGTATACCATCCAGCCACTGGGACCCAAACCGATTCAATAACAAGCCAGTGCATGAATTCTAACTTCTACCAAATTCACAATCTAGCGCGACTAGCATCAACCAGTGTCGTCTATGGGACATCCATCCTCACACATCTGGACATCTGGATGGACCTCACTGAGGTCACGACTTCTCACTAGAACTGACTCCAGGGAAACTCCATCCTATAGGAAGTCACTAGTGAGCAACAGATTAATTTTCTGCAGTTGGTTTGTAAGGATTCGGTTTAACCACGAATTGCTATCAGTTGGAAAACCATTGAAAACCAGCCCACAGGGAGTACTGTCAGACACCTGTTTCATCTTAGTTTGGGATGGCTGAATTGTATACGAGTCAGTAGATCCTGGGTTCGAACCCCATTGGTGGTGGGTGCATACTTCCGATGATTCCAAAACTAGTAGGATGAAACAGCTGTCTACCAGTACTCCCTGTAACTGGTTTTCAATGGTTCTCTAACTGACATCATCAATCCGTGATCAACTCGTAAAAAACAAAACTAATCCTTACAAGTCAGCTATGGAAAATCCTCAATTTGTTTGACTTTGTGTTGAACAGTAATCAGTGTTTATTGTTTGTTTGTGTGTGTGTGCATATACATATGTGTATATATATTTTTGTGTAAGTGTGTTTATCTTTATTGTTTGGAATGAGTGTATATATGTCACTGTTTTGTTTCTAATTGTTTTGCATTTTAGGTAGTTGCTAACCGAATTGAGTCTTTTTCTCTCTCTCTGTCAGTGATGTTGTGCTTCATTATGTCACTGTGGTTTTTGTTTTCTTTAAAAGACACTATTTACTGTAAATCAATAATGTTGATTTCAGGGAGAGAACTGCCAGAGATACTGGGATACCACCTTGGTGGACTAGACACATTACGATGTCACCAGTGGCGAATGTGTCTTTACTCCACGTTATTTCAGAATTCTAATCTCTAGCCTCTCATGGCACATGGTATTTGTCTCAACAACAACAACCGAACTTTACGATTTCGAGGAATTTATCCCGAAGCTGAGGAGAAGTGAATTCATAGAAGCTGGAAATCTCCCCTAATGGTATTTTATGCGGAACGTATTCACTTTATGAATAACTTTTCTCCATAGAGTGTGATTCCTGACACGTTGTCTTGGATGTGTGTTCATTGTTGGTGAAGAGTCTCAGACTAGAGAGAGAGCGCGCTAGAGAGAGAACAGACTTTTCACCCCCTTGTGCTTTTTCCTGCTCAATATTTCTCTAATCCCACTGTTAGTTTGTAATCAAATATACCTCGACTCCGGTCGACCCGTGTTACGAAGAAAATCGATTCGTTGTGGTCTGTGTCCTACTGTATAGCTGAATAAACTTCCTTGAGACTCAGGCACAGTCACAAAACGTTCCAGAGACAGTGAAAAGACGGTTATTCGTCGGTGGTAGATCTAGGTGTTGGTTCTACTCTTCACAAAACTCGAGATTACCCTTAACACTGCTGCCATCAGACGCTAGCTAATTAGACAGTAGAAAATAAGTAGAGTAGAACAGGATTAGTTAACCGAAATTCCACCATAAGAATTATTTAGGAATCAAGTAGAATGTCTCCAACATGGTGGAACCGACGCTCTATTCACAAGAATCACACACCAACAATTCACGCCACAGACAGTTCAAGATCAGAATCAACTTGATTCATCGTTCAAACAAAATCAAATCGTCGTAAAACAACATGGAGGATTTCATCATGAGCTGACATCAGTTAGAGAACCACTGGAAAATCAGCTGGAAGTACTGGACAGCTGTTTCGTCCTAGTTTAGGACTCTTCAGCACTGCGCACTCACCGGAGTTCGAACCCGGGGCCTTCTGGTTGCAAGGCTAGTGAGCTCGTAGACCATTCAGCCACTGGGACCCAATTAGAATTCAAGAATCACTGGATCGGGTCCCAGTGGCTGAATGGTCTACGAGCTCACTAGCCTTGTAACCAGAAGGCCCCGGGTTCGAACTCCGGTGGGTGCGCACTGCTGAAGAGTCCTAAACTAGGACGAAACAGGTGTCCAGTACTTCCAGTTGGTTTTCCAGTGGTTCTCTAACTGATGTCAGCTCGTGGGTTGATGATTTCCCAAACATTTATTCCGTCACAACTCCCGCCTCGCCCTCCCGCACACACTACTCACTACAAATTCTTCGCTAGTTATAAGTATACTCCTTATTCTGATTTCCTGTGTGGTTTTTTGGTTTACATTTATTTATAGGCGTTGATTGGAAATCATTGATTGTACCAGCCTGTCTACCTGTAGATACAGACTATTTCCCTGATACTAATCGTCTACGCAGTGAATGGTATATCCTACACGATTATCGTGTTGTACCGAGTGGTATGTCACTCGATGAATGGATGTCAATCAATAATGAGTGAGTAATTTTGTGTGTTGTGTGCTTTTTTTCTCGCCTGTTTTTCTGCCTTACTTACTTACTTACTTAACATTCCCAGTGGAATACAACGGCGTCAAGCTTGGGGTTTAAAGGTTCATTAGTGATGAGGACTACTAGTTAAGCAAGGTGTCAGAGTGCGTAGGTTGCCAGGAATTCCACTACTTGGACCACTTGAGGTGTGGTTTTTGAGCATTCTACCACCATTGATTCACTCCAACGCTCTGGGAGTAATACAGTGAAGAAAGGGATTGTCATGGGGGGAAACAGCGATGTTTTTTTTCTTTCCTTCACGTTCCCTGTGGAACATAGGGCCTCAAGCTAGTGGCTTGAAGATTCTGTAACAGTGTTTAATTTTACAGGATGGGGTTGCTAGTCTCATGCCCAACCTCTCCTCTTTACCAGCATTATTTCTGGCTTAGCGAAGTAAAGGAGTGAGTCGGTGGCCGGGGATCGAACCCCGGACCATGTGCATGGTCAGCGAGCATCTTGACCGCTGTGCCACTGACGCACTGGTGTCGCTGCCAGCGATGTAGTTTATTTATATGCTTCTGTTGGTGTCTTTTATTCTAGATAGTAGATATATCCCCGAGATATAAACTAATGCTTTTTACTTTTCAAGTATTGTTTTTGTAGGGATTTTTTGATCTCTCCATTATAATAAAGGTTTTTGTATTTCCAAATGATTTTCTGGTCTGATTAGTTGGAAGATTTCATCATGAGTCAGCCACAGGGAGTACTGCCAGTTAGCTAATTCTGTTGTCCTAGTTTGGGACTCCTCAGCAGTACGCACCCACAAACACGGCTCGAATCCACGACCTTCTGGTTACAAGGCTAGCGAGTTGGCTTGTAGACCATTAAGCCATTGGGAACCAACTGTGATCCAACGGCTAGTTGCCCATGAATTCTAACTTCTGCCAATTCACGCAAGACATAGTATGACCACTTCGTAATGTCTTCTTCAATGAGTAATTGTCCTCACCTTCGGCCTGCTGTGCCCTACTGGTCACAGTTTCCCACTAGAACCGCAGGTTAACTGTGTGAATAGGGCCAGTCGTTAGTGAACGTCGGATTAATTTTCAGGTATTGGTTTTGTAGGGAGTCCCAAACTAGGACGAAACAGCTGTCCAGTACTCCCTATGGCTGGTTTTCCAATAGTTTTCTAACTTATGTCAGCCCATGATGAAATCCTCCAGCTATTGCTATTGTAATTTTTGGGCGTACAACGTAACAATGCACTGTGATGAAACATAACTGATCAAGAGAATCAGTTTATCAACCCTGAAGTAAACGACGTCTGATTTATTATATGGGTTACCACAATTTAGGATTTGTTTTAAAGAGTTTTGACCTCATCTTCGTCTGGCAATATGGACCTATCTAAATGAATGAGGTGATAAAAAAAAAAACTCCTCAGTTACGAACGCATAATCTTTTGACGCTTATTCCTTCACACCTCTGACGGAATACTCAGGGAAACTTTTGAAGTGAAGACAGGAGTAAGACAAGACTGACTGTCGGCCTTCTATCACCGATGATATTTTTGATTGTGGTAGACTGAAGTATGCAGAAGACAGGAGTGCGTTCGACCACCGTTAAGAAAACTCTTGAAGATCTGGACTTCGAGCCGGATGATATACGTCTAATGTCATGCATAAACTCAAAGACTTATAGATGGAAACCAACAAACTGGCTGAAGACGTTGGCTGGCAGCGAGGACACGAACGACTTCATGTGAACACAGTGAAGATGGTGGTGATGAAGATAACCAAGCTCTAATTGCTATGGCGTCATCAAAACCATTTCCAACAGCCAACTAACTACAGACTTTTGTCAACAGATGCGCCATCTTCGCTGACTCCACACTGAAGGTCAGATGACCACCTGGCTAGGGACTGTAGGAACGAACTAATGAAGAATCTATTGCTCAACTTATATTTTGTAGAAACTGGAGATAGATCGAATACACATTGAGCAGATTGTTGAGGGACATAGTTTCAGTAGAACTCGTATGGGGGAGGACTAGTTGGCTTTCGTTCCGAGGGTGGTGTGGAAGAGATCGTGTGAGTTGGAGGAGGAGATGAGAGTTTATAAGGTGGTGGGGGTGGAATCATGGAGCCTTTTGAAGAGGACTTCAGAGAACAATATTTAAAGTGACAGACGGTCTGTTGAAGTTCTATATTCCACTTGAAACCCAATAATGTCATTTTTTCGGTACGAACCAATGTGTTCTATTATTTTTCTTATTTTTATATAAGAGAGATGATTTGGCAACTACTTTGCTACTACGGGGTGCCGCCGACAATTATACATCTCATCCAACAGCTGTTCGACAATGCTGCATGCCAAGTAATCCACCACGGGAAACTTATGGAATCCTTTGAAGTGAGGACGAGAGTAAGACAAGCTGGCTGTCTACTGTCGCCAATGATCTTCCTGATTGCAGTAGATTGGATAGTGTGAGAGATATTGGGCAATGAGGAAACAGGCATAAAATGGACCCACACAAAGACAAACGTGGGGGGTCTGGACTTCGCCGATGATATATGTCTGGTTTCTCACAAACTAGAAGATTTGCAAGTGAAAAGCAACAAGTTGGCACAAGAGGCATCCGGAGAAGATAAGCCTTCAGATGAACATACAGCAGACAACAATCAGCCAGCATAAATGAGAGGAAAGAAACAACCTCCTTTACCTACCTAACTGGGAAGCATCGTTTCAACTGCAGGAGGACGGAAGTGACAAGGATATCAAAGCGCAAGAATCAGAAAAGCAAGACAAGCTTTTATTACTCTCAAGTCTGTGTGGAGGTCAACAGCACTCAGTACCAAAAATAAGATCCGGATTTCCAACTCCAGTGTGAAGTCAGTGCTACTCTATGGATCAAAGACTTGCACTGCGCGTCATGAAGAGCACCTCCAACAAAATACAGACCTTCATTAACAGTTATCTTTGATCCATACCACTCAAGATCAGATGGCCAACCGGAAAAGATCAGCAACAAGGATCTATGGGAGCAAGCGAGCGAGCGAACCAACCTATCAGGAATCGATTGTGCAACAAATAAGCGAGAAGAATTTGAGATGGATTGGCCATACTCTGAGAAAACCATCAAGTGACATCACTAGACAAGCCTTCGAGTGCAACGGGAACGGCAAGGGGTGAGTTAGTCGGTCATCAGTGCGAGGCTGCGCTGACATGCAGGAGGAGGTGACACGATTAGGAGAGGAAAGCATATGGGCAGACTTGGAGCCAGGTGAAAACGATGGCAGAAAACCGAACGCAATGAAGACGCGCGGCTGAAGCCCTATGTTCCTCTAGGAATTAAAGGAAATAATAATAATAAATAATAATAATATAAAAGTATTCACCATCTTGTCTCATTTCTGTTCCCCTACTTGTTATCTTAACCGAAGTAGAATAAATTCGACTTTATTATAGAGTGAAGAGAGAGAGGAGAGAGTGTCTAGTGTTGTTCAGTGATAATGAATGTGATGAATACACTTTACGGTATTTCTTTTGCTGTCGGTATTTCTGTCTGGTTTTATACTTTTCTTCTTCTTATGCCTTTTTCAATTTTGTTTTTCACTTCATGATGAATGAGTTTGTATTCATTATTATTATTATTATTTGTGTATGGAGTGTGTATCCACTATTGAGGAGGCCTTTCTTTTTCGGTATGAATCTGAACACGTTAGTTATAAGAAGAAAAAGCATTCTTGGTTTCTTTCTTTCTTCTATTGTTCTACTATTACTACTACAACGTATTATTCAAATCTGAAGAGTTGAGTGTGGTGGTGGTGGTGGTGTGTGTTTGTGTGTGTGTGTGTATGTTGGGCGGGGGGTGGTATTCATTAAACAAAAAGTCATACTGTTGTCTACGCATTACATTTTGTAGATTCTTTATGGTCCATTTCATCGATATGCCTGAAATAATAAGAAGAATAAGAATAGTAGTCATAATATTGATTTTTTTTTAAATATTATTAAGTGTAAAAAAAAGAACTTGTAATCAGTGTTTACCAATTGATAAATCGACAAAGGTATAAGGTAGGATAGATAGGTGGTATGTGCTGTTGATTCAGAACCCTGTGTTTGTGTTTGCAGATTTGGTGACGTAATCAACCCAGCTTTGTACTTTTTAACTGTCAAGTTTGATCGAGGATTGATGTTGTTAGTTAGAGAACCATTGGGAAACTAGCCATAGTGAGTAGTGGTCAGCTGTTACGTTCCACTAGTTAGAGAGAATCATGGGAAGTACACACCCATCACCCGGGTTCGAATCTAGGACTGTCTGCTTACAAGGAAAGCTATCTCGTAGACAACCATTCAACCAGTGGGATCTGACTCCTCAATGGCCAGACCATGAATTCTAACTTGTACCAGTTCGTGACTTTAGCGCGACCGGCACACTAGCCAACGCTCTCCAGCTGATATCAGTCTGTGATCAGACTGGAAAACAAATCAAATGAGAACAAACTAAATCTTGTAAATTCATCTGATACTCACTAAGGACTGACTGACGGACTGGCTACGGGGGATGAAGTTGACTACAGTTTTAGTGAGTAGTCATCAACAGTTGGGTCCCCCAACTTGCTGGTGCTAGTCGAGCTAATAAAATCACAAATCAGAAATTCATAGGCTGTCCATTAAGTTGGATCCCAGTGAGTGAATGGTTGTCTACAAGCTAGCTTGACTTGTAAGCGGAAAGTCCTTTGATTGAACCTTGGCGCGGTAGATACGTACCAGCCAGTTGGTGAGATGAATCCCAAACTATTGGAACGAAACGCCTGTCCAGGTCTCAGTCAATACATGTTTTAAGCGCAACCCGACTAACATGGCTAGAATTAATCCCACATTCTATTGAAATTTGTAAAATTATATGGTTCTAAATTATGGAATACAATAACGGCTGAGTTAGTATCCTTTTGAAGTTGAATTTTATCACTCACTGATATCCATTAGAGGGACCAGCATTAAAAACCAGGGAGTACTGAATTTACTGGATTAATCCACCGGCTCTCGTGGAGTTCTAGTTAGAAGTCGTGACTAGTAGGTCATAGATACTAACCGATGACACTGCATATTATGAATTGTTAGAAGTTAAAATTCATAGACCATTACTCTGCCCTCCTGTGAAGCGATACCCCCTGGGATCGTGCTGATGAGGAGTTCCGAAATAGGACGAAACAACTCATTACTCATTTTCTTTCAGTGGTTATATAATCGATGTTTGCTTTGTAATCTGATGGATCCTGAAATCAATCGCATCCTAGTAGTGCTTTGTTTGAATTCCTTCTCCATTTCATGTTCATGATGCACAATAATCATCGGTATAATTTTGAAACCAGTTGATCTGCATTTAAACTAATCTCATTTGTGTGGTGTAGTCACAGTTGAATTTAGCGTTTGTCATGAAAAGTTTTTTCCAGTAGTCTAATGCTGACTTTTTTAAACAGCTGCCGCCATCGCTCCACATTGAATAACAAATGGCCAAAAAACAATTAGTTACAAGGAACTCTGAGAACTAAGCAAAGAAGAAACCATAGGACAACAAATATGGCTGAAAAGGTGTAGGGGAATCCAACACACTCAGTGGAGGCTGTTGAGTGAGGTCAGTTGGTAGACCGTCAGGCTGGAATTCAATGGTCTTCGATGGGTTGGGCGTGGGCCTGTGGGTGACATGCAGGAGATCGTGTTTGAGAGAGGAGTAGCTAGATTATAGACAGACAGTCGTGGAACCAACCAAAAAAGGACTGCTGGGAACATAGTGAGATGGTGATGTTCTGTTGAGGCTTTGTGTTCCATATCCAACCCAAAGGAATGATAATAATAATATTATGATAAACAAATGAGTCCTTTCCTGTATAGTGTGGGCTTGCTGCTTCTCCATGTAATATATATGTTGTCATGATCCTTCCCTTGGGTTCCGAGTGGAATATAAGGCCTCAACAGAACACTCTTCATCTTGTTGTCTTCTCTGCAGTCCTCTTCATCTGACTACACGATTGCCCATAGGCTGTCATCTCCTCCTGCCACAATCTTCTGGATGTCAGCTTCGGACCCGCAAGCCCAACTTGTGGCTCCCGCTCCAGTTCAACTCGAGCGACAGGTGATAGTGGCGCGCGTTGTCACCCAGCGGTTTCCTCAGTGTGTGTGTCCGATAGACCTCCAGGTTCTTAGGAATATTTGTTGAGCTCATTAGGTTCTTGTTGCTGATTCCATCTGGTCAACTGGTCATTCAGTCTTCAGTATGTGGAGCCAGCCAGCAAAGGTGGCCCAGCTGTTGAGATCAAAATCTGCAGTAGACAGTTGGAAATTCTTTTCGTGTTACAAGCGTCAAGTTTCTCATCTGTATAAAAGAAGTGACTAACTGACTTCACATTTGTGCTGAAAATCTGAATCTTGTTTCTTATGCTGTCTGAGTGCCAGCAGAAGACTTTCAAACTGGTTTCAGGTTGATGAAGGCGTATCTCGCCTTTCCGATTTTGGCTGGCTGGCCAGTTGGCTGTGTTTGACATCTTCATCCGAGGAGGTAACTTCTGTTAAATCCCTCTCACTGGTGGTGATTAGTTCCGGTTGTTGTTGTCGTTGCTGTTGGTAGTGGTTGGTTATCTTCGTCACCACCGTCTTCTCTCTGTTCACCTGGAATCCTGTCTTCTCAGCCTGATTTTTCAGCCAGTTGGCTGGTTTTCGCCTACAAGTCTTCAAGTTTGTGTGACACTAAACATAAATCATCTGTCTCGGACTATACAGATCTTCTACAGTCTTCTTTCATCGGTCCAACGTATTCCTGTCTTCTCACTCCCTATCCACAGTCTGGCGCATAATCCAGCCCATCACAATTAAGATTATCATCGCAGGTGATAATAAGCAGACAGTCCTGTCCTACTCCTGTATTCACTTCGAACGCCTCACTGAGTTTTCCGTTGTGGATCACCTGACACGTGGCATTGTCATATAGCTAGCTAGCTGTTGAATGAGGTTGATAAAGTCTTGGGTATTGTACTCCGTAGTGTTGAAGTAGTTTCCGGATTACTTGTCGATCAACACTGTCTGTCGAAGGCCTTTTCGAAGTCGATAAAGTTAAGGCAAAGAGAGGTTTGACCTCCATTCTATGCTTTGTTCGATGATGATGCATAGAGTTGCAATTTGATCAACACATGAGATTTACCCTGCTGACTGGTGAGTGAGAAAAAGCATCAAAACTTAAATCCAGACAGAGCTTTCTCGTGGCGATTACCTTCAATCGTCGAATGGATTTTATTTAACCCACCCGCCCCCCTCCTTTGAATTAAACAAGTACAACCGTTTTTGTTGTTGTTTTTATTTGCTTCCTACTGCTACAATTTTAAAACATCAAAAGAAACAAACTATTGAATTGCTTCACCTTTTTCATTTTCTTTTCCCTTCTTGATTGTTTTTTCTAGTGATCTGGAACCTGGAGCTTATTATAATCATCGTCAGTTGACTGCTCGTGAAGTATTTCAAGAAATGGTACTACAAAGAATTAGCCAGGTGTGTGTATGTATGTATGTGTGTGTGTAATTAAACATATAGATGCTGTTACTTCTAAAATGAAGTTTGTTTTTACTACTTATGGAGAAATATTCAGGTTTCTAACCAACCGACTGACTGACTGACTGAGTGCCTGGCTGGCTGACTCAGTTCCAATATAGAACTTTGCTGAAGTAAACCATACTTCATGCATCCGAGAGATTTCAGAGGGTGATGAATGCATTTGTGCTATTGTTAGCGATTTTCAGCGTGATCGCCAACTGTCCCCAGCCATTGATTTTTAGAATCCCGAGGTAACCCACCAGGTGGTATTCACTTCCATACATGACTGGCTCAAACCAACCAGATGTCAAAGACTTCATAGATTGATTTCAAATTTCAGTTTGATATTTTTTTTATTTCCATAACTTTCCCAGTGGAACATAGGGCTTCAAGCTGGAGGCTTGAAGTTTCTGTAGCAGTGTTTATTTTTACAGGATGAGGTTGTTAGCCTCATGCCCAACCTTCCCTCTTTACCAGTCTTATTACTGGATAAGTGAGGTAAAGGAGTGCGTCGGTGGCCGGGAATCGAACCCCAGACCACCTACGTGGTCGGCGAGCATGCTAACAGACGCACTCAGTTTGATTACCACTCCTAAATCTTTTCCAACTTAACCGTGTATGTCAGCTAACATTACTCGTAGAGAAAGCCTGTGGGTCAGCATGTGCAACACATCAATCCTTGCTATGTTAATCAATGTAGCTTCTGTACTTCATCGATTGAATGAATCACTTTTCATCACGGGCTGACATCAGTTGGAGAACCACTGGAAAATCCGGAAGTACTGGAAAGTGGTTTCGTTCTAGTTTGGGACTCTTCATCAGTACGCACTCACGGGGGTTCAAACCCACGACCTCCTGGTTAAAAGGCGAGCTCATAGACCATTGAGCCACTGGGACTCGATGCAACGCTAGGCCATCGCTCGAGTGAAATCCGAATGGGAAGCGACGGCTTGTCCATCAGTGTGAGGGTGACATGGAGGAGGTGATGTGGAGAGGAGATGAAAGCATGTAGGCAGACGTAGAACCAGGTGGCGGAAGCGTTGGCGGAGAACCGAACGCAATGGAGACGTGTGGCTGTAGCCCTATGTTCCTCCATGAATTAAAGGAAACAATAATTATATATATATATATATATATATATTATTATTATTGTATCCTTTAGTTCCTAGAGGAACATAGGGCTTCAGCTGCGCACCTCCATTGACTTCGGTTTTCTGACAACTTTTTCAACCTGCTCCAGGTCTGTCCACATGCTTTCATCTCCTCCTCGCATGACCTCCTCCAAGTCACCCTTGGACGACCAACTCGCCGCCTCCCTTTCGGGTTCCACTCGAGGGCTTGTCTAGTGATGTCACTTGATGGTTTTCTCAGAGTATGGCCAATCCATCTCCATTTCTTTCTGCCTATTTGTTTCACAATCGGTTCCTGATTGGTTCGCTCCCAGAGATCCCTGCTGCTAATCTTTTCTGGCCATCTGATCTTGAGTATTGAGCGGAGACAGTTGTTAATGAAGGTTTGAAGTTTGTTTGAGATGCTCTTTATGACTCGCCAAGTCTCTGATCCGTATAGTAGCACTGACTTCACATTGGAGTTGAAGATCCGGATCTTATTTTTGATGCTGATTGCTGTTGACCTCCACACCGACTTGAGAGTAATGAAAGCTTGTCTTGCTTTTCCGATTCTGGCTTTGATGTCCTCGTTAGTTCCGCCTGTAGTTGAGACGATGCTTCCCAGGTAGGTGAAGGAGGTTGTTTCTTTCAGGTTCTTCCCATTTATGCTTATTGTGGTCTGTTGGTGTTGTTGATGTTGGCTAGGAATCTTCATTATCTCTGTTTTATCTATGTTCACGTGAAGTCCTATCTTTGATGCTTCTTCTGCCAACTTGTTACTTTTCACTTGCATATCTTCCAGTTTATGGGAAATCAGACATATATCATCGGCGAAATCCAGATCCTCCAAGTCTTTTGTGTGAGTCCATTTTATGCCTGTTCCCTCGTTGGTTGCCGTTGTCTGTCGCATTATCCAATCAATTGCAATCAGGAAGATCATTGGTGATAGTAGACAGCCTTGTCTCACTCCCGTCCTCACTTCGAAGGCTTCCGTAAGTTTCCCGTTGTGGATTACTTGGCATGCAGAATTGTCGTATAACTGTTGGATGAGGTGTATAATTGTCGATGGGACCCCGTAGTAGCGAAGCAGTTGCCAAATCACCTCTCGATCGACGCTGCGCTATCGAAGGCCTTTTCAAAGTCGATGAAGTAGAGATAGAGAGGTGACTGACGGCCATTCTAAGCTTTGTTCAATGATGATCCGTTGAGTGGCGATTTGATCAATACATGATTTGTTTCTCCTGAATCCAGCCTGTTCCGGACGAAGTTTTTCATCTAGGGCTTGTTTGATTCTCTCCAGGATGATGCGACTTAGTATCTTGCTTGGAATGGACAGAAGCATATATATATATATATATATATATATATATATATATATATATATATATGCATAATCCTTAATCTCTTCGCTTATGACGTCTTAAAAGACATTGGTTCACTAATCTTGTTTATATGGTATGGCTTTTCTTTCATTTTTAGTGTAATTTACTACTTATTTGTGTATTCTCTTAAGTATTCTCTTCCTTTTCTAATAGTTTACTGTCATATAAGTGGAATACGATAATAAGTGTACTTGAATAGTGTGCTTAGATGAAGAAGAGCACATGGCGATAACCGCGGGAAATGATGTACTGCATAGTGTTGTTAGGGTATATTATAAATATATATGTGTGTATATATCTATATTTGGATAAAGAGAGATAGGGAGACATCCATCATATACCTGAGTGCATGCATCGTAAGCATAATGGGCCAGATGTTTACAATTCTGTTTATAATACACACTTAAATAAACACAATTGCTGTATCTTTTCTCCTTTTAAGTTACTTCAATTATAATACTGCTAATAATTGCGATGGGAATTCCATTAACGCATTAGCATAGAGTTTATACTGGTAGATTATACGGGTGTGTGTATATTCAATGTGGACGATTATTATTATTCCCTTGGGTTCCTAGTGGAACATAGGGCTTCAACTGCACGTCTCCACTTGCTTCTGTCTCTCTTCTGCTGTAGTTTTCACCTGCATCCATCTTAGTCCATACACTTTCAAATCCTCTTCACACGATCTCCTCCATGTCACCCTTGCATTGACGTCCCACTCGCCGCTTCCCTTTCGGCCTGGTTCCACTCGAGAAATGGCCTGACGCGTGCGCGATGTCACCCATCGGCCTCCTCAGCGAGTTTCCAATCCATCTCCTCATTTTCTCCTGCATATTTATTGGGCGGCGATTGGTTCTTGTTTTGTTTGTTCGTTCCCATAGTTTCTTGTTGATGATTCTTTCCGGCCCGGCCATCTCATCTTCAGTATAGAGCCAGCGAAGACAGTTTTTGATAAAGGTCTGCAACAGGCTGTTGGAAATATTCTTTGTGACCCGCCCGCCAAGTTTCTGATCCGTATAGAAGAATTGGCTGACTTGACGTTTGTATTGAAAAGCCGAATTTTGTTGTTGATGCTGAGTGAATGTGTTTCTCGCCTTCCCGATTCTTGATTTGACATCCTCGTCCGTTCCGACTGCCTGTAGTTGAGACAATGGTCCCTAGATGAGTGAATGAAGTAGCCTCTTTCAAATCCCTCCCGTTGATGGTGATTGGCGCTGGATGTTGCTGCTGTTTTCGTTGGTCGGTTGTTTGGTTATTTTCGTAAACTCCATCTTGTCTATGTTCACGTGGATTCTTGTCTTTGATGCTTCTTCGACCAGTTTGTCGGATGTAACGATTGTAACGATCGAAATGCACTCTGACTGTGATATAAACGCAGTAAGCTGATCTTTGTGGCCTACTGTATATGTATACACCTGACAGAACTTGGGTTCCAAGTGGAATAAATTATTTCATCAACACATCTCCAACATCATCATGTTCACTGCAGTCTTTTATTTACTGGCTCAATGATTGTTCATAAGTGCTTTCGTCGCTTTCCTCGTCACACGTGATCCCTTCCATGTCATACTTGCATCCACAACCAACTTACTGCCTCATGTTTGACTTCAAATAGACGGCCTGGTGCGTTAAATCATCCAATATTCTCCTCAGCGTATCTTATCTATCTCAATTCGACTATCGACCAAAGGGCGGGTGTACTGCTCATCAGTCCGCTCCGTCCTCCTTTATGGCTGTCAGTGAGACCTGGCCACTGGGAGTAGAGGGTATGAAAAGGCTATCTGTCTTTGATCATAGGTGCCTGCGTTCTATCTTCCGTGTGAAGTGGTATAATAAGTTGAGCAATATTGAAGTTAGGCGTCGAGTTCTAGGTAAACAGGGGAAATCAATCGACGAGACTGTGAAGTTACATAGACTGAGATGGTTAGGACATGTGTTACGTATGCCTAGTCATCGCCTTTCTCGACGAGCAATGCTAGCGGATATAGGGTCAGGCTGGAAAAAAGCTAGTGGCGGTCAAACAAAAACTTGGCACCAGTCAATGCAATCTACAACAGTTAGTTGAAGCCAGACACGTAGGAAGGTGTAGACTTCCAGGCTGGGGTCCTCGGGACGTTAAAAATCAATGGTTGGAAACAATTAGTGACATGGTTCAAAATCGTTCTCAGTGTCTGGAGCAGATGCATCCACTCCTTGTGACTTATGATTTCCGATGAAACTGTTTTGTTCTTCGTTATTACTCCTCCTTTGTCTCACATCTCTGCTTACTATCTCTGTTATACTTTTCTTGTACTTTCTTCTCTTGCTTCGTGTGCTACAAGTAGGGAGTGTGGCGACTTGAACTTCCGCACATTTGTGCAAAGTTCTATGTCGAAAATAGACAGACATTTTCTTCTGCATATTTGTTACTTGATAGGTTCTTCATTGATTTTTTGTCAGAGTTCCTTGCTGCCTTATTCTTTTCCCTAGCTGGTCGTCTAATATTCAGTATCGAACCAAGCAAAGGCAACCCTGTTGTCTCTGAACCATGTAGAGAAGTACTTAACTTGACATTGTTACTTTTTCCCTTATGTTTCGAGTGGAACATAGGGCTCCAACGTTGTTCTGTTTTCTGCCGTCCTCTTCAGCTGGCTCCACGGTTGCCTGAAATCTCTCGTCTCCTTCTACTCGCACAATCTCATCCATGTTACTCTCACTTGCACCGAGCACCCACTCGTCGCTTCCCATTGAGATTCCACTCGAGTGATTGCCTGGCATGCGATGTCATTCGGCGACCTCCTCAATCAATGTATGCCCGATCCATCTCCATTTTCTCCTATATAATTTTTTAGGAGTCAGTTCTTGGTTGGTTTTTTGCCAGAGATTCGTGTTCCTCATATGATCTTCATTATGAAGCAAAGGCAGCTAATGTTGAAAATCAGTGTGACCCGCCTGTAGTTGAAACGATGCTTCCCAGGTAGGTAGGTAGGTGAAGGAGGTTGTTTCTTTCACGTTCCTCCCATTTATGCTGGCTGATTGTTGTCTGTTGTTGTTGTTGCTGTTGGTGTTGGCCAGGAATCTTCATCATCACATCTGTTTTCTCTATGTTCACCTGAAGTCCTATCTTCTCTGGATGCTTCTTCTTTCTCCAGCTTGTTGGTTTTCACTTGCATATCTTCCAGTTTATGGGAAATCGGACACATATCTTCGGCGAAGTCCAGATCCTCCAAGTTTTTTTTGTGTGTGAGTCCATTTTATGCCTGTTTTCTCGCTGCTCGGTCCGCTGTCTGTCGCACTATCCAATCTACTGCAATCAGGAAAATCATTGGCGATAGTAGGCGGCCTTGTCTTACTCCTGTCTTCACTTCGAAGGATTCCGTAATTTTCCGTTGTGGATTACTTGGCATGCAGCATTTTCGTACAACTGTTGGATGAGATGTATAACTGTCGGTGGCACCCCTAGGTAGTAGCTAAGTAGTTTCCAAATCACCCCTCGATTAACGTTGCGCTGTCGAAGGCCTTTTCAAAGTCGGTGAAGTTGTGTGATGTAGAAAGCTAACTGCCATTCCAAGCTTTGTTCAATGATGATCTGTAGAGTGGCAATTTGATCAATACATGACTTGTTTCTCTTGAATCCAGCCTGTTTCTATATCCATAAGATCCTGGGTTCGAAACCCGTCAGTGGATGCGTGCTGCGGAAGAGTCCCGAACTAGGTCAACAGAAACCGCCTTCTTTCCTTTTCGGTGTACTACATGAAGTGTACATCGGAGCAAAGTTCCGTGTTGGAGTCAGTCAGTCTTTCAATTCAAGAAGATCCTAGATAGTTTCTGCATGAAATAATCTTATATTCGTCTGCATTGCCTATTTGTCTATTTTTCTTTTTTAATTCTAGGGATTTCAACTATGTCATGAAGCAGTACAACAACAACAACAACAACAGCAACAACATAATCCAACGAATTCTAATCCTGTTGAACATCATCAGCATCACCATTCGCCTGCTGCTGCCGTGGCTTCCACCGCCACTGCTACAACTACGAACACTACTAGTTCAACTACTACTACTAATGGTAATAATAGTGGTAGTAGCATTAGTGGAGGTTCTGGCAGTAGTTCAACCAGCGGGAATACCAGTAGTACAAATACGACAACATCTGGAAGTATATCACAGACATCGAATCCAAATCATGCTAATATTAATAGCAATAATAATAATAACACTAATAATAAATCACAGCATAAATCTGTTATCAAACAAAACGCTGAACGTCGAGATCAACGGAATTCTTCTCATACTACTACTAATAATAATAATAGTAGCAGTAGTAACAATATCACACGTAAACTTACTAATAATCCTATTATTACTACTAACACTCCTACTCCAACGACAACGGCGATGACGACAATTGCCTCCAGTATAGCGGCGGTTAATATGAACACCAATATTAAACGATTCAATCATTTATCAACGCATAGAAATCCAACAAGTTCCCTGATGAAACCATCACATCGTTATCCTCATCATCATCATCACCAGCAGCATCAGCCGCGTTTATCATCACCTAAAATGAATAGCAGTAATACTACTAATAATGTTAGCAGTAGTAGTATAAGTACCACGAATAGTAGCGTATCACAATGCTTTAAAAGTTCATGCGGTGGTGGTGGTGGTGGACGTATCCTAGGCGTTGGTTTAACTATCAACAGAAGTGGTGGAAATCAATCGACCAATAGCAGCAGTACAGTTACCAGTACCAGTGGTAGTAGTAGTAGTAGCGCGAGTGGTGGTGGTGCTGGTGGTCGAGGAGCAGGCGTCGGTGGCGTCGGTGTCAGCGGAACAATCAGTGGATCAACAATTATGACAACATCGATAGGCGGTAGATATCTTCAGTCAATGCATAAAGTTCATAATAATAATAATAATAGAAATAATAACAATACAATGACAAAGTCTACTTTAGGCACAATATCAAAATTTGGTGATACAGATCAAGGGGTGAAAGTAAGTCATCTATATCTGTACACGATGTTATCTAGTCTTTTGTTGATTTTTGTGATGTTATCTGTTTTTATGATAAAAAAAGACAACGACAACAAACAACACTTATATGGGAAGTTGTATCAGGCCCAACGCCAATGGTTTGATCGCTGACGAAATCTCAACACGGATACAGAAGGTTACTTTCGCATATTGCTTAGTGGACGTGATATCCGGCTGGCTATTGACTAAACAATGTGTGTGTACTGCTCACTAGTCCACTCCGTCCTCCTTTATAGCTGTGAGCAATGCATGGCCATTGAGAGTGGAAGACAGTGAAAGGCTAGCTAGCTATCTTTGATCGTAGGTGACTGCCTTCTATCTCCCGTGTAAAGTGATATAATAAGGTGAGTAATATTGAGGTTAGGCATCGGTCGAGTGCTAGGTAAAGAGAGGAAATCAATCGAGGGGGCTGTGAAGTTACATCGACTGAGGTGATTAGGACATATGTTACGCATGCTAGCCTAACCATCGCCTTCCTTGACGGGCAATGTTAGTCAGCTGACGTAGGGTCAGGTCGGAAAAGAGCCAGTGGTGATCAAACCAAAACATGGCTTCATCAGTCACTGAAAGCCACAACAGTTAGTTTGAGCTAGCCAGCCAGCCACGTAGGAAGGTGTAGACGGTAAACACCAATGAAGGCTAGAGACAAGTGGTGATACGGCTCAAAATCTTCATTGTCAATGGCTGGCGCAGATACATCCACTCCTTGTGACTTATGCTATCCAATGAAACTATATTGTTCTTCGTTATTACTATTCTTTTAGTCTCATATCTGTGTTTACTGTCTTTATTTTGCATTGCGTTTTACTTTCTTCTCTGGCTTTGTGTACTGAGTGAAGTGTGATGACTTGAAGTGCTTTACATCAGTGCAAAGTTCTATGTTGAAGACAGTCAGTCGGTCCATCCTGATTCTTTTTGCATTTACATTTGGCTTCCAGGTTAGGTTAGTATTTAGTTTATGCTTGAGGTAAAGGTGGAAAATGGCTCCTAACTCAGACATCATGTAATATCAACGTTCTTTATGTGTGACAATTCTGTCTCATTGTTCTAAATCATTCGTAGATCCTCGAGAGTGTGTGTGTGTTGATCTGTAGGGATTTGATTGATTTGCTCATGGATTATGAATTCGGTTAAAGAACCCATTGAAAACCATCAGGAAGTAAACTGAATATCAGTTAGTTGTTATAACCGAAACCGACTCATTGTTGTCTGAAACGCAGGGGACCAATAGCTGCGTCACACTGTATAGCTGTTCTAAACTTTGTTGAGAAACAATGCACAGTGACAAAACCCTCTAAAGACATCAAGAAGACGAAATACTGATGTTAGCGCCAGTTAAACAGACAAGGTGACTTCCTAGGTACAAGACAGTTATTTAGTACCACGCGTAGGCAGTATCAAACACTCTGTCCATCAGAGAATCACAAACCAACAATTCCCGTCACAGATTCACTCAAACAAAGCCACATCATCGTAGAACAAACAACCACAAAGAAAAGCATTAAAATTAAAGATGGTTAAACAGAAGCAATGGCAAATAATTGTGCGTCGGTGGTACAGCCGTTAAGACGCTCGTCGACCATACACATGGTCCGGGGTTCGATTCCCTGCCACCGACGTACTCCTTTACCTTGCTAAACCAGTAATAAGACTGGTAAAGAAGAAAGGCTTGGCATGAGGGGCCAGCAACCCCATCCTGTAAAATTAAACACTGCTTCAGAAACTTCAAGCTGGCTATAGCTTGAGGCCCTATGTTCCACTGGGGAACGTGAAGGAAATTTAAAAATTGGCAATTAATAAGGACCAAGTGAACATGTGATATTCAAATATAGAGAATATCCTCATTTAGACGCTTAGAAAACAGAAAGATTTAGCGGAAAAATATTTACTCTTCTATTAGATCCTCATCTCTCTCTCTGGCTCCACTCTAATATACACGTATAATATTTTCATTACAATACACAGCAGTTTACCAATCAAGTGGCACTGATATGTTTGTTAACAAATAATTAGTCAGTGTCAACATGTCAGGGAGGGGATGATAACACAATGAAAAGGTAGAAATGGTTACATTATGCATAATGCATAATTCTGGAAAATTGAAGAGTAATTAAGGAATAGGCGTGTGCACAGGTTGATTACGTAACAGATTATTGAAGAAAATAAAACAATTTGGACAATGATAATTTGTAACTAAGGTTGAAGTGGTTATACGCATAAAATAATTATACAAGGATAACACGTAATTAAAGGTGAAATAGTCAGAAGAAATAAAATAATTTGGACATTTATAATTTTTATAATTTTTAAAAAGTGTAGTGGGAGGTGGGCAAAGTAGTCCCGGTTTATTCAATTGTGTAAAGATGGCCAAGGTAAGTATGAAAGTGGCTGTACAAATTTCTACTGAACACACAAGTTTGGCTTGTTCTTCAGGTGGATTCCTATTCCTTCAGTTGTATGTAGAAGACAAACTCGTAAAGCAAAATTAATTAAGATTAATAGGAATGCGATAAATAATTTTAAAAGTGCAGTATTAACGTCAACCTTATGCTCACTAGGTGTCTACAAGGTGTGCTAAAATAGAGCTACGAATAGATCTTGTTTGTCCCTTGGTTAACCATCCTTGATGATGTTCGGAAATACGATGATGAACGTGCCTAATTGTACACCAGATGTAGCTGCAGTCCAATTGGTAGATACACATAGAGGAGGCTATTATTGTCAACAAACATATCAGTACCACTAGATTGGTAAATTGTTGTGTATTTTAATAAAATTGCTATACGTGTATATTAGAGTAGAGCCAGAGCGGGGAGTTTGAATTCATGATCGTATTGGATTTTATCCCAATGGCTAAATTGCCAGTGAGTGTGCTCACCTTGTATCTCGAAGGTCCTGATATCCACAAACGGGGTGTTGTAGTCATGTGTGTGTGTGTGTGTGTTTGCGTACTGATGAAGAGTCTCGGATTATGACGAAACATCTGTCCAATATTCCCTGCTGTGGTTTTCAATTGTTTTTCAACTGAAGTCAGTTTGTGATCAAATTCGAAATCATTAGTAAATGTTTGATTTTGATGGCCATTTTTTAACAGTCACCCTGCTGTCTTCTCTAGGTTACTCTTACAGAAATGAATCTCACTAGGAATTATATGGTATACATTGTTCATATTTCGTATTTAGTTTAACTTTATTTACATTGAACATTTTTTTCCTTGTGAATACCACTACTACCATTAATAGTAGTACTATTACTAATAGTAGAGTGCTTCTTTCCTTCAAAACTTATTCACAATATACACTTCACAAATGAAGTATATTTTGCACACATTATTAAACTATGTGTACTTTATTCAATTGAAGTTCATTCTACAAGTATAGATCTAATATATATATTGAATACTAATCTTCTCTCTATGTATATATACAAGTATACATCCTTTAGAAATGGAAATGTGGAAATCTAGTGTTCATGTTTGTGCGTGAGTGTGTGTGTGTAGGAGGGGAAGGTGGTCGCGTTGTGTGTTTCAGTCGTACCATTCTTCTCTTTTTTCTCTGTATAGTTGTTATGTTCTCGTCGCCAAATTATTATTATGTACTGGTCGAGAATTTAATAGACCTGACGCAAGAAAGACGGAAATCAGAAGACCACTAGGTTTGCGATGATACTTCTATTTTCCAAACACAAGGAGAATCAATAAGCAGCCACACAAGAGTGTGAGAGCAAAAATATATATGAATGTCCAAACAAGTGTGTGAACAAATCAATAGACAGTCTTAACATGATTGGCTAATTATAATGGAGTATCGATCCATATATACATAGCCAAATATAACAAACACGTCAAACAAACACACATATTATATATAATACAAGGGGGATATACATTGTTAAAGGAGACAGGTTCATCAAAGTGAAATGGTCACAGACTAAGAGAGCAACAGAAAGTGAGACCACCATATATATATATGGATACATATCAATTGTTTTAACTCTTTAATTGTTATTCCTTATTCCTCTTCATACCAATTCACCTCTCCTTTTATGGGGGGGGGTTGAAAAATTATTTGTTTGTTTATCTTTGAATTAACAAACAATAGTCAGTCATTGGGATAGTCATTATTTCACATGTATGTGTGCGTTTTTAAATGAGGCACTCAATTTTATTTTGAAAATATTCAGTGTTTCAATGGCACCAATGACTATTAATGGAGTGTGACCGCACCAGTGACCTTGAAACAATCACGGAGGTAGTTGGTGAAACCTGGCAAATAATGTTGTCATCATTAATAAAATATGCTCATCGAAGTGTTATGCTATTAAATAGGATATCTGTCAAGTTTCAGCTTAGGTTTTTTGGGAAAGATTAAGTTACGCTTTAAGCCAAGGACAAGTTAGGGTTAGGATAACATAATATGGGTGACGTCAGGTTTGGTTCCAGTTAGATTACAGTTAGTTTAGGGATATTTTCACGTGGTTAAATTTCTCTGTTGATATAAGAATATAACTTGTGTACTGAGGTGGTAGAGTATAACTCCATTGTGGGTAAAATTTGTTTTGATAAATTCTCACAGTGTTCTACAGTAATATTTACTGATGACGACGTTTCGAGTACAATTTACTACTCAGTAAATATTTATGCACAATGGAATTTATACTCTGTTGATACTCCAACTTAAAACTGAGAGCTCCTTTTATCACATGTGAAAGCAAGGTATCCAGTGTAACACTTTTCTACAGTTTTTATGCATTTGTTTTTATAAATATATATGTGTATTCCATATGCAAACATGCCTTCTTCACGTGATTGGTTCGTTCAAGGTCGTTTGCTGATTGGTAGTTAGTGGTGCTTAAAGTTTAACATTGCTCATCCATACACATACGATTCAATTCAATAATCGTTGATATATATTATTCTTTGGTTAACATCATTTTAAGTGGGTATTTAAACAATTGCTAATAACCATCATAGAATATATGCACACATAATGTATAAATTAATTTTTGAATTTGAAATGAGTCTTCTTACGTGATATAAATAACTTTTGTGTGAATTAGATGTCCAGATTCTTTTGTATTCCTTTGCCTTTTGATTGGAAATAAGGCTTTCATAACTGTTTTGATGGTATCCTTTTCTTACGAGTTGTGGGGTGGTGGTGGTGGTTTTTTTTGCCTCACATGCCTCCTCTGCTCTCCATATCTCTCCTGTCTACCACCAGACCACATAGGCGCAGTTGACGAGCGCGTTTTACCGTAAAATCAGTGACAGATGTCAATAATTCCTTCATTTCGAGATATCTGTAACTCGTTGTCTTTTCCACTATTTAAATTTTCTGGTTATCATTTGGATCAGTTGTTAGACCTCCAGTTTTATAATCTCGTGGACATTAGTTTGAATCCTGATGCAATGGAATATTTTTCCCCTAATATGTTAGAAAGGAGAAGTCAGTGTTCTGGATGGATATCTTTTGTGAATTTCTAAATTAGACATTCAACTAAAACATGATTTAAACGCTACGTCATGCATGTTATTGTAGAGTCATTTTTCTACAAAACCTTTGTATTCCTGTAATTGTAGTTCCATCATAACTGAGAGGCATTTGTTTTTTGTAACGTGCAACGTATGTTTGAGACAAAATCGGCTGAGAAACCTGACAGAGTTGTACTCATTGGTCGTCATTCTAGTTTGTGAGTATATCATGAATTCATGGGCTAAATAAAACATTGGAACCTATCCCAGTAGCTGGATAATGAACCAGATAGCTTCGTAACTAGAAGATCTTGACTCCGCTCCCCAGTCCGGGGGGGGAAGGGGATTATAGGTGTATACTGCTGAAGAGGGCCCGAAACTAGAACGAAACGGCTGTCCAATTCCTTCACACTTTCAATGTTTCTCTAATTGAAGTCAGCACACATGATGAAACTTGAACTTTGTACGTTATTCATATGTGTGTTTACCTGAATGTACGTGGACGTGTGCGAGGTTGTAGGATTATAATAAGTGAATTATTTCCTTGTGTGTGTCGGGCAGTACTCAGAATAGGTGCTTTTTACTTGTAGTCATTGTTTTTCATATCCTTACTCTTATTTATTTGTTGATTTGTTTGCCTACCTTTGTTTCTTCCTTACTTCTCAACCTGACCCTCCCCACCCTACTACCCTTTCCCTTTTACTTCAACTCTAACTTGTGTCTATTTTTTATCTTCATTTGTGATATTGTTATTGTTTGTTGTTGATGGTGGTGGCGGTGGCGGTGATGCTGTTGAAGTAGGAGTTGATTTGTTTATCCTAATTTCAACAACATTTTCATCACTTGAATTCATTCAGTCGACTGTAAAAAGTGAGAAATAAAGAATTGGTGTGTGTGTGTGGGGAGGGGCTGGTGGGGTGGGGTGGATTGAGCAAGGAGTGTATAATATGCTGCATTCTTTTGTAGAATAGAGTGTTACTTGTTTATTTTGTTGTTTTTTTTCTTTCGGCTTGCTTAGCACTCACCTTTACCTAGCTTAGTTTAGCCTAGCTTATCTTCTTTCATTATCACATGAAAGTTTTTATTAATTTTCTTTTTCTCTACTGAATTTTCAGCGTATTCGTTTTCATTTTTCTTTGTGTTTTTTGTTGTTTTTGGTGTTTGTCGATGAATATAGAGTATGGTTGTGTGTGTGTATGTGTGTGTGCGTGTGTGCAGGAGCTGGGGTGATGATCTGGTAGTTTCATGTTGTGCAGTCGAAATTAAGGTTAGTTATGTATCAATTTATCAATAGGATTCTAGTTTGTAAGAAATGGAATAAAACTTCCCAACCACTTGACTAACTATAGAATTGATTAGAGGATTACATCATGAGCTGACATCAGTTAGAGAAGCAGGGAGTATTGTTAGACAACTGTTTACTTCGTCCTAGTTTCCGACTCTTCAGCAGTACTCATACGCCACCAGGGTTCGAACCCACGACCTTCTTGTTACAAGGCCAGCGAACTAGGTTGTAGACCATTAAGCCACTGTGACCCGACTTCTGTGAATTCACGCATGACATAGCGTGACCACTTCGCAATGTCTTCTTCGATGATTTACTGCCTCACCTTCAATCTGTTTTACCTTCCCAATAGAACCGCAGGTTAACTGCATAAATCGAGCCAGTCGTTTGTGAGCATCAGATTAATTTTCAGGTGTTGGTGATGAAGATGATGAAATCCTCAAACCAATTAAACAAACAAAATCCCTACAAAACCAATACTTGAAGATAACATAGAATTTCCAGTAGTACACACCACTCCACACCAGGGTTCGAACCTATAGCCTCATTGGTACAAGGTGACCTAGCTGAAAGATCATTCAGACACCACCAGGTACCAATCCAATGGTTATCTCCTTGAATTCCAACTTCTTCCAGTTCACGATATACATATATGTGAACAGTGGTGATAGTTGGTTGTATGCCCTCACTCTACCTGAGGTTTTTCTCTATAGAGTTTTCAAGATGTTAACAAATTTCTCAGGTACACCTCTCTCTAACAGACAGTTCCAGAGCACAGTTCTGTCCAACGAATCGAAGGCAGCCCTAATATCAAGAAACACAACGATCGTTGGCCTGCAATACGTGTGGCGGTGTTCCAACAACTGACGAAGGGTGAACACCTGATCAATGCATCCACGACCTGAACGAAACCCAGCCTGCTCTTCGCGAATCAATCCTTCACGTATTTTGCACAGTCTGCGAAGCAAGACAGCAGCCAGTATTTTAGACGCGACTGGTAACAGACTGATACCCCTATGATTGTCACACGAATTACGTCGACCCTTTTTAAAGATGGGGACGATAATGGCTTCGTTCCACATTGATGATACACTCTCACTCTGCCATACTTTCCTGAATAATCCAGTTACAGCCATTACGAGAGTCTCGCCACCATCTTTAAAAAGAGCAGGGGGAGTAGATTGTCTGGGCGTCTAGTAGTAATACGCCCAACACACAATTATCGCCTCAGGCGCAGTTGAATTGATAAATACAAACGTAGATGCGATAAAATTATCTAGCCTATCCTTCGTTTGCATCCCAGTCAACTTATCGGCTAGAGAATGACAAACATAGATTTGCTGCGTGATATGTATCCACATATATATTTATGTGTGTGTGTATGTTGGTCTTTCTTTCTGTTTGCTCGGTTAGTCTGTGACCACTTCACTTGTATGAACTTGTCTCTTTTAATAATGTGTATTCTCCTTATATTATATTATATATAATATGAGTGTTTGTTGACAGTCCGTTGCTTGGTGACATATATCCATATATGTTTGTTGGCATGTCTGCTATATTCGCCATGTATAATTGGATCGACACTCCATTATAATTAGCCATTCATGTTAAGACTGTCTAATGATTCTTCCCACGCTTGTCTGAATTATTCATATATATTCGCATTCACAATTTGTGTGAACTACTTTACTTTACAACTACTTTACTTACTTACCACTTTGGTGTGAGACCATTTATTTTCGTCTCCTTGTGTTTGGACAATAGAAGTATCATCGCAAACCTAGTGGTCTTCTGATTTCCGCCTTCTCGCGTCAGGACTATTAGATTCTCGACCAGTCCATAACAATAATTTAGCGACGAGTACATAACAATTTGGCGACGGGGAAACTAGAACATAACACTGCGTAAGAAATTCCTTCGTATACTCCTGGATAATCGCTGAAATAAAGTCTCACTTGGCAACTCATCATCATCAGATGAAGACAAATCCTCAAAAAGCCGTCATTCAGAAAGATCCAAATGAATAAATAGAAGGCAGACTAACAGACATCTCTCTTGAAGAAGTTGAAGAATGAAGGTGTGTATATATCTGTTATGTACTAGTTTTCCCGTCGCCAAATTGTTATGTACTCGTCGCTAAATTATTGTTATGGACTGGTCGAGAAACTAATAGTCCTGACGCAAGAAGGCGGAAATCAGAAGACCACTAGGTTTGCGATGATACTTCTATTGTCCAAACACAAGGAGACGAAAATAAATGGTCTCACACCAAAGTGGTAAGTAAGTAAAGTAGTTGTAAAGTAGAGTAGTTCACACAAATTGTGAATGCGAATATATATGAATAATTCAGACAAGCGTGGGAAGAATCATTAGACAGTCTTAACATGAATGGCTAATTATAATGGAGTGTCGATCCAATTATACATGGCGAATATAGCAGACATGCCAACAAACATATATGGATATATGTCACCAAGCAACGGACTGTCAACAAACACTCATATTATATATAATATAATATAAGGGGAATACACATTATTAAAAGAGACAAGTTCATACAAGTGAAGTGGTCACAGACTAACCGAGCAAACAGAAAGAGAGACCAACATGCACACACACACATAAATATATATATGTGGATACATATCACCTCCCCTTTTGAGAAAATGATGATTAGTAGGATGTTTACCTGGGGGTTTATCTGGGACCTTTGGGCTTGTTGTTGACGCCTGTCGTTTCGTCTGACTGTTGGGTTTGCGGCTTCGGCTTCGTCCAGGATTGTCTAGCATTTTATGCTTCTTGACTGTATTGCGTAGAGAATTTAGTGGGACATCAGCCAGATGCAAACGATCGAACCAATCAAGTCCCAAAACATTTAAATCATTCTTCGTGACGTAACAAATTCCTGTGAATTTGGTATTGCGGAAGGAAACAGAACATTTGAGTTCACCAATTAGTTTGAGCCGCCCACCACAGGCGCTGAGAAGAGACTGGGAAGTATTGGTGATAGGTGGTCTGCCAATATAATTCCAAAGTTTCTCTGATATAACAGTAATATCAGAGGCAGTATCTAGCTGCAGACGAGTATCATGACCATTCATCTGAAGGTCAATATATTTCCGCATAGCTGGTTTTGTGACTTGACAGGTTGCACGTAGACTCAATGACTTTTTGGGGATTTAGGACCAACATTTTGTTGAGCTTTTGCTGGATTTTGACATCTGGGTTGCGTGGCTGACAAAAACCATTTTTGTGACCGATGATCTTGCACTTGCTGCAACGATGATTTTTGTATGGACAAGACTTTACAAAGTGCCACGCGCCACAGTGCCAGCATGGTGATGGTGGGGTCTTCTTTGCAGTATTTTGTGAAGTTGGACGAGTATGTATAGATTTCCGCGGAACATTAGAGAAGTAGGTGGGTCAGGAGTAGCTGATGAGAGATTTTTGCTCTTGCGTAATGCACGAATATCAGAGCTTCTCGGAGGTGTTGATTCGACCAAGTGTGTGTCTTTCTGCAGATTAATCAGCCGTTGATATTCATCAGCTATGTCATGTAATGTTAACTTGGGATTTTGTTCTAGCTGATTGAGCAGTCGAGTTCGGATATCTGTGAAACGAGGAGATTGGAGACTGCATATGAGAATCAAGGCTTTGAACTGATCATCTGTTAAGGACCTGAGTCGAAATCTCTCACATTCTCGGTTGACTGTGCCAACGTGAGTAAGAAAATCATCATTTTCATTCATTGTCAGCTTGAGGCAACGATAACGTATTCTGAATAATGAGGAGTGGTCTCCGAAATGTTCACGCAGCAACTTTATTGTATCATCGAAACAATTGTCACGTGGTTTCTGTGGTAAAATTAGGTTGCAGTACCGTTCATATTCTGCCGGACCCAATTTACGTAGCAAAACTCGCACCTTCCAGGCATCGTCTTGTGAGGCGAGATCAACAGTGAATAAATCCTCATAACGTTGATACCATGTGTCAAAAGTGACATTAGCCTCTGGGTCATAATTGAACTGTGAAATGCTGTTCACAATTCCGTCGACAGATGGTAGCATGGTATGATTGGGATTGCTTGAAGGTGGAGCTGGACCAGTCTGTTGGTTGACGAACATTTCCATTGATTTCATTTGTCGTTCAAACAATAATTCCAATTTAATAGGATCCATAGTAAATTGTTATGTTGTTGCTGCTGTATGGTTAATAGTAGTTTTTCCCCGTCGCCAAATTGTTATGTACTAGTTTTCCCGTCGCCAAATTGTTATGTACTCGTCGCTAAATTATTGTTATGGACTGGTCGAGAAACTAATAGTCCTGACGCGAGAAGGCGGAAATCAGAAGACCACTAGGTTTGCGATGATACTTCTATTGTCCAAACACAAGGAGACGAAAATAAATGGTCTCACACCAAAGTGGTAAGTAAGTAAAGTAGTTGTAAAGTAGAGTAGTTCACACAAATTGTGAATGCGAATATATATGAATAATTCAGACAAGCGTGGGAAAAATCATTAGACAGTCTTAACATGAATGGCTAATTATAATGGAGTGTCGATCCAATTATACATAGCGAATATAGCAGACATGCCAACAAACATATATGGATATATGTCACCAAGCAACGGACTGTCAACAAACACTCATATTATATATAATATAATATAAGGGGAATACACATTATTAAAAGAGACAAGTTCATACAAGTGAAGTGGTCACAGACTAACCGAGCAAACAGAAAGAGAGACCAACATGCACACACACACATAAATATATATGTGGATACATATCACCTCCCCTTTTGAGAAAATGATGATTAGTAGGATGTTTACCTGGGGGTTTATCTGGGACCTTTGGGCTTGTTGTTGACGCCTGTCGTTTCGTCTGACTGTTGGGTTTGCGGCTTCGGCTTCGTCCAGGATTGTCTAGCATTTTATGCTTCTTGACTGTATTGCGTAGAGAATTTAGTGGGACATCAGCCAGATGCAAACGATCGAACCAATCAAGTCCCAAAACATTTAAATCATTCTTCGTGACGTAACAAATTCCTGTGAATTTGGTATTGCGGAAGGAAACAGAACATTTGAGTTCACCAATTAGTTTGAGCCGCCCACCACAGGCGCTGAGAAGAGACTGGGAAGTATTGGTGATAGGTGGTCTGCCAATATAATTCCAAAGTTTCTCTGATATAACAGTAATATCAGAGGCAGTATCTAGCTGCAGACGAGTATCATGACCATTCATCTGAAGGTCAATATATTTCCGCATAGCTGGTTTTGTGACTTGACAGGTTGCACGTAGACTCAATGACTTTTTGGGGATTTAGGACCAACATTTTGTTGAGCTTTTGCTGGATTTTGACATCTGGGTTGCGTGGCTGACAAAAACCATTTTTGTGACCGATGATCTTGCACTTGCTGCAACGATGATTTTTGTATGGACAAGACTTTACAAAGTGCCACGCGCCACAGTGCCAGCATGGTGATGGTGGGGTCTTCTTTGCAGTATTTTGTGAAGTTGGACGAGTATGTATAGATTTCCGCGGAACATTAGAGAAGTAGGTGGGTCAGGAGTAGCTGATGAGAGATTTTTGCTCTTGCGTAATGCACGAATATCAGAGCTTCTCGGAGGTGTTGATTCGACCAAGTGTGTGTCTTTCTGCAGATTAATCAGCCGTTGATATTCATCAGCTATGTCATGTAATGTTAACTTGGGATTTTGTTCTAGCTGATTGAGCAGTCGAGTTCGGATATCTGTGAAACGAGGAGATTGGAGACTGCATATGAGAATCAAGGCTTTGAACTGATCATCTGTTAAGGACCTGAGTCGAAATCTCTCACATTCTCGGTTGACTGTGCCAACGTGAGTAAGAAAATCATCATTTTCATTCATTGTCAGCTTGAGGCAACGATAACGTATTCTGAATAATGAGGAGTGGTCTCCGAAATGTTCACGCAGCAACTTTATTGTATCATCGAAACAATTGTCACGTGGTTTCTGTGGTAAAATTAGGTTGCAGTACCGTTCATATTCTGCCGGACCCAATTTACGTAGCAAAACTCGCACCTTCCAGGCATCGTCTTGTGAGGC